CGAGAGCGCGACGTCAGACGCCGCCCCGCCACGCCCCTCCGCACCCCGTTCCGTCAACCTCTCCCCCACCCGCCCTTCACGCAAACGCCCCGGGCGAAGGACGCAGCCAACGACGAAACGCCTTCGCCTCGCTAGCTGACGAAGCTCAGTTTACGTTATCCGGTGTGATTTTTTGGGCTGCCACATTTCGCGACATATAGGACAAGTTAGACGGATTAACGAAACAGCTGCAGCGTATTTGGATTGGTGGTCCAAGGGTTCAAGTCCTGATGGTGGCGGCTTCTACAGTTGATTACGGTTACAGTGCACTCGGATATTGTGGACCTAAGTCACCGGTCCCGTTTCTTTTACAATACAAATAAGCACAAGAAGATTCGGTCCGAACCTCAGCTATAGTAAACGAAGGAAATCAGTCCTAGAAATTGTAAAAAAATTATCACCTCAGTCCCACAAATTCCAACTCTAGGCAGCTTGTAAAAAAAAGTCGGCCAAAGGTTATAAACAACGAAGTCTCCCCTGCGGTGGAGGTAACGGACCCCGAATGTTTCCTTTCAGCGATCAGTTTTATTAGCCGCTCGCGGTATGCTGCGACCGAAAGGATCTCGAATGTTGTTATTACAATAAAAAGGGCTTCGGGGAGTGGGGCGGTGTTCCAACAGTGCAAGAGGCACTCAAGTGTGTCAAGACTGCAATCGATGCATTACGATACTTAGCCAGTGGGCAATGCAGAATGAGGTACGGAGAGAGCACGATCTGTAGAGACGGATCTAGAGAAATTGCTAATGAAAAATATACCAAATAAACAAGTGAAAACAAGTGATTTTTAAGGTAAAGTAAGATACGGAAGTTTTCAGTTGATATTTTTTGTGTATTTTACTGCATCCATATATTAATAAAATCAGTAATTGTGGAGAAACTGTCTTAAATTTTGACATCATCAGATAAAGTAACATCCGAAATGTTAGTCCCCACACGATCACTGTAGCCGGAGTCGAATGTATATAGCTAGACTGAAGTTAGACCCGATTTGAAGAATTCTAACAGCTGGCTGCACTGCAGTAGACGTCCTATTTTTTCATCATACGTATCAGGAGAATGCTGGAGGACTAATGAACGGGACACGGATCATGCATTATTTCTTCTTCTTCGTGTTTGTCCTCATCGTTTTCCCTTACATACATACATTTACACTTATATAGCACCACATTAGTACACCGCCACATCCCAGATATAACATTCACTGCTCGTATGGGAATAATGACCACAGCAGTTCATTATTCAATTCCAGAAACATCACTCATTCTCAACAGAGAAATAATTAACTCTTAAAGCTCACTAAATGTATTTATTAGCGTTAATTGCTGTTTATGAGGATTTGGGTGTGTAAGAACGAGATAATTTAAATTTACTGTTCAGAAGCAAAACAAGGAATCAGCATTTACCCCGTGATGCAAGGAAAATTGAAAGAAAGAAAGGAAACGATCGAGGTGGGGTCACAACTACTATTACGAGGTAATTTTATTAAAAATCATACAAATCAAGTCGTACTATTAAAGTTGTGTATTATAAAATAAGAGTTATTTCCAAATAGTTATTAACGTATAAAGAGGTATGAATTGAATTGACATTAATGCTAGAATACTGACTCCAAATCCCTCTTCTACTTCTTAGTGAGGAAATGTAGAGGGAAATAACAAAATAATAACATTCACACATGTCAATACAAAAGCAATTTATAATAAATATTTCGCACCCTAAAACACTTTATCCTCATTATAATTCTGCCGATACACTTCCGATCAATTTACCGTCGAACATAATCTCTAACCTGTTGGTAATCTTCACCGCCACCCATTTTGTTCCGTCCATTACTCACGGTCTAGACATGATCTCTTGCTCAACGCACCGACGAAGTTGAAAATTGGTATGTGGAGTGTGATTTATCTTTACTTAGCTCCAGCGGCAGTCGTTTAAGTCAGCCACTTCACTTCGAGATGTCATTTTTCTCTCTAAATCACTCTATCTTCAGTTTCTCAGAATCACGAAGAAAAGGTAATATTCCATTGCATTAATACAAAAAACATTAGCTTAAAATTGAACGAGATACTTCACCCGATACAATCTTCATACACAGAAACATCTCTTTGGCAGGCGCACACATTTGTTAAAGGGTGTATTCGAAAACATCTCTCCTTGTCCATAAATGAACCTTTGTTGTGAGCGCGGAAGCAGGGGCGTGGCTTGAAGCAGGTCGTCCGGAGCGCCGTCAAATGGCGGCTGCTCTCTCCGCGTCGCGCAGCGCGAGTTGCGGGGCAGGTCGCAACCAAGCACACCGGGTGCTAGCATCTTAAGAAGCCTCTTCATCCTCCTCTTCCCCCATACTCTGCTTGCTCTTTCTCCCCCTAGTTTTTCCTTTGCCGCTCCTTCTTTCTCTTTTTCCCCACTTCTTTCTCTGTTTTCCCACTTCTTTCTCTTTCCTCACTTCTTCCTCTTTTCGCACTTCTTTCTCTCTTCCCACTTCTTTCTCTTTTCGCACTTCTTTCTCTTTCCCCCAATTCTTTCTCTTTTTCCAAATTCTTTATCTTTCTCTTTTCGCACTTCTTTCACTTTTCGCACTTCTTTCTCTTTTCCCACTTCTTTCTCTTTTCCCACTTCTTTCTCTTTTCCCACTTCTTTCTCTTTTCCCACTTCTTTCTGTTTTGCCACTTCTTCTTCCTCTTACTCTTTCCCTCTTCTTATTCATTTCCTTCTTCTTCCTCTTTAATTTCTTACTCTTTCTCTTCTTTTTCTTTCTCTTCCTCTTCGTACCCTTTCTCTTATTACTCTTATTGTTCTCTTCTTCATCTTATTATTATTATCCCTCCTACTATTCTTCCTTTTCTCCTCTTCATTTTCCCCTTCCTTTTGTACAATCTCTATGTTTCTTTTGACTGGATGCCCGGGACTTTTTTCGTCACGACGTTAGAAGTCCATTACATTTTATGACATTGTCCTGAAATACATTCTTTGTTCGTGACAGCCATTTGTTTCGATATTCAATAACGTCATCGAGGACGCTGTGAAACGGGAGAATAGCTCTTATATTAGATATATTCTTTTTTAACGTGATCTAGTTTCAAAACACTAACAATATTCCGCTCAAAAAGCGCATTTCCACGTTTGGTATTCTACTCCCGTTTCTTACGGTCGTAGTCCATGTTCCACTTCCGAGTTAACCTACGCAGGCGCGCTCGATTCGTCGCGCTACCCAGCAAGGCGGAGCCATTTGTCATCAATGTCACTGCCATCAGCCTTCACTGCCCATTTCGTCATTGAAGCCCTCAGAGAAACTGACCCGTTAAGAAACGATAATTTTGGCCACTTCTTCGTCCGTGACCGTGTCTGTTTTCATACATTTCGCTTCTTCCATTGATATAAGCATACCTTTTCCTTAACTCGCAGAGGGGTACCGATGCTTTGTTTTGCAACACGATTCTCAATGTAGCCCCAAACGAATTCGATAGGATTGAAATCGGGATGGGAAGAAGAGAGCTTGATGTTGAGGCCACATTACCTGTGAACGGTTGTCTTAGAAACAAACGCAACATTGCGCCTGAGAACTTCACTTAAAATTAGACCTACGCTAAGACGCACCACATTGCACAGCACAACGACGATAGGGCTAGGACTGAGGACCAGGAACGATGCTTCCTATACATATGTTTCTTTTACTGAACCTTAATATATTAAGAGTGAGCGTTTGAGCATAGAGAGCTGAAATGCTTTTGATTTGGATAGATGATACGTGGGGTCAGACACAGCAGCCTATGCCTCCAGAGCCCCCTCGCCTCACCTCTCCCCCACGGGTGGCACGCAGTGCGAGTGAAAGCGATATTTTCAGGGAAGTAGCGGATGATAGTGAGTTACCCCTCGTCGCGCATGCGCAGTCGAAGGAAGATTTGTACTTGTTCTGCTTTTAATATTGCCATTGTTGTACAGATTTTTTATTTGCGAATCATTTCTGTTGTTGTTGTTGTTTTTAAATTTTATTCGATAACAAGTTCTTAATAATTGCATCCATATTCTTATTTCTTAATAATTATAAAGGAAGAGAAAAGTAGCTTGTAATAATTAAGTAGTCAATATCAATAACAGTTATGCACATATTCTTAATATAAGAACTACTCAATAGAAGTACTAGAGATACCCCTAAATTAATGTTTAACATTCAAGACTTCAATATTTCTATGGTACTATCATCTACTGTCACCGTTATCTTAATTTTATGTACCTACTATTTATAAACGACTAACACAAACACAGATACGAGATTATTATAAATAAGATATTATGTGCTATAGTTATTTTTTTAGCTACAATTATCTATCTACGAATTTAAAACAGTCGATAATAATGTAAATACTTTTAACCGAGATGGTTTCCTTCTGCCTCGTTAGCGTACGGGGTTGAAGCACTGTTTAAGAATGCGGAGTCGAAGACTGCGGGTTTCAGTCCCATAATTATTAATTTCTCTTCGTTATTTACGTCGTGATGACCCACGACTTACCCTGTGAAAGGAATTAGCAAACCATCCCTGTGATCTTCTGCCCAGTAAACGATAGATCATAAATACGTTACACGCCTCCCTATTCAATGCTCGAGGAATAAATACGATAGGCGCCACTCACCATAGCTTTCATTTCGATAGGAATGCCTATTCAACATCCTACAGGGTGATTAAATACGCTTTCGGACATGCGAAGAGTAGGTCATGACGATGCCTCTTCTGCGCTAAGAAATTTGAAAACCGGCTTCGTTTTAAAATTATTAAAGAAGAATTATACTGCCAATGCGAAGAGTGGGAGGCTTATGAAACACTGACTCATTACAGAATGGTTTCCACATTAACATGCGGAAATTTGTTTGCCGCGAGATAATGGATACTATGCATGATACAACGGGAGACATCAAAACGCCACGTGCAGGATAATGCAGACAGAATCCTGAAACGTCGCGCAGTCATAGCGACGAACGAGACACTTTCGCTCAATTCGAAGCACGGACCTGACGTATCTGGTCGTGTGCATCGAAACTGGTCGTGTGCATCGAAAGCATGGGGTGCTGATGGGAATAAACTTTATATTTTGCAAGGAAAGGATATTACACTTAAACGTGACGGATAGTCAGGACTTGGGTTCTCAAAAACATAACAATCAGGAACCCAATGTAGGATTGATTGACTGCATATTTAGTATGACCGTGCGCGTTAACTACTAACATACACTACGAATATCTCGTGTATTGTATCCCGGGAGGTAGAGTGGTTCCTTCACTACCTTCACCACCGTGAAATCCGGCCCACGCGGGCTTGCGGGGGTCTCCACTCTCCAGGTATCTTCGCCAGAAACTCACCGTTCCAATCGGAAGAAACTTTAAACTCCTGTCACGTGTGCTAATATTGTGCATGTTAGTGTGCGTAAGGGGAGAAGATGGAAAGGCCGTGAGTGTTTCAGCATTTCCCTTATTGATCGGAGAAACCCCGAACAGTCGGGCGCAACAATTCTTTTCTAGACACTGGTTGAATTCGACACAACCATGAAGGTAGTGTCAAAACTCAGCCACCGTCAGAACTCTAACACTACGATCTTTGAGTCAGCAGCAACGCTGCAACTGAGCCAACCCACAATGGGATCTCTTTGGGTTTGAGAGATTAGTTATTCCGGTCGCGTCAACTGCTAAGGTCATTACTCCTGCAAGGACATTTTCCCCCGCTGGGTGGTGAGATCCGACGCCGGCATTTTGGCTAGCGAGGGTTCTCCCCAACCAGGTATCTCCCACCAGGGGGCACCGCCCCAGCCCGGAGAAGCTCTAAGCTCCCGACCGGTCTCCCGGTGTGGGTGGCAGTGCCGTGCGTGTAAGTGTAAGTGATGTGTGAGGATAGGACAAGGAAAGGAAACAGCGCACGCGGCCCGTTTGTTAGGTATTGCTCCAGCATTTGCCTCGTGTTGATCGGAGAAGCCACGGAAACTACCGATCAGAGCAGCCGACCGCTAGAATTCTCCTCCAGACAGCGGCTGTATTCGACCCAGCTCTCCAGCTAGCGATGAAAATCCATACACCACCTAATCTGGGGCCTTGCGGTGACATCAGCTGATGCCCAAAGCCACGCTCCCAGGTGGGCGTGCGGGCGTGGAAGGGGGCTAGTGAAAGGAGAACGCTCGGGTGGGCGCGCGCGCGCCGTCGTGTGCGGGCGGTGCGGTGCGGCGCGGCGGAGCGCGAGCGCCAGGAGGAGGGGTCGCAAACGAGAGCGGACGCGAGGAATCAGCGTCGGTTACGCAGCCGGCAGGGACCGCGCCCTGCGCGCACGAGGAACCCCTCCACCCCCTCCGCCACCCGGCGGTTGCCACACGCCCACCCCCAACCGCCCTTCGAGGCAGAGGTCACGTACACACACAATAAAAGGAAGGCAAAAAAAGAACAAAAACTGTGCATAAAACTTTTGTTCAAAAAATTCTATGTCAACACAAACGTTGTGTTTTATTGTCGGTACAAACAGGACAGTCATATGTCAAAACAGAACCCCTATTTCTGAGCTAGTAAAGACGCCACACTAGCACCAATTTCGGCATAAATATACCGCACTTTAAATCTAAGGCACACTGTGTTTAGTGGTGCGGTTTATTAGATGGTGAATGATGATGAAGAAATTGCGAGAAGGCAAGGGAAAAAGGAGAATCCAGAAAAAAATCGCTGAGAGATCGCTTTGTCCATTATTAATTTTACATAAATTGGCTAGGGGTCGAATCTGTGCTCCAGTGGTGAACGTCCTAGGCAGGTTTAAGAAACTGTCAGAAAGGCAGTTAGACACATCACATTAAAATATTTCTTGCCTGTGCTCGAATATTTGCCACTCATCGAGTTGGCAGAAACAAGCTTCGGATTTTGGTTTAATTTCAAGAACTAAAATATAAAAAAGGACTAGGTATTTCTAAACATCCTTCGCTTTCCTATATCGTTCTACTGCGCGAGAATCCATGTAATGACTCGCAATAGAAAGTAACGCACTGTCTGGCCGAATTATTTTTACTTGGGTGTGAGCCAAATGGAGGACTGCACTTCCTGGAAGTCATGTTTTCGAGATTCCACAGAAGTGAAAACTCCCAATCTCTCTGCAGATCTTTGATATGCATAACGTTATCCGTCTAACTCTGCATTACATTAACCCCAACTTATCAGCTATGAAAATTGAGCTTCGCCACGTATGGCGTAGAAATATCTAGCAATGTGGATACATGCCTTCAAAGACATTCAAAACCGTTCGAAAACAGACACAGTGGCGTGTTATTAGGGATTTATCAAAATTTATATTAGGAAAATTATTATTAAAATGAGGGATAAATGGTACCTATTTACAACTCATTTAAAAAACGCGAGAAAGAATGAGAAGGTAAGGTGTGAGAGGGTAAATCTGAAAGACTTGTCTCTCTCTTTTTCCTCTTTTTTTTCTTTCTTTCTTGAAGATATTTGCAGAATGTGATAAAAGCTAGTGAAATGAAAATAAATAATAATATGCTCTAATAACTTTGAATGTTGCTTCATACGTGCAACGGAATTGTCATCGGCCGTTAGTTGGAATACGAGAAACACCATCTTGTTGTAAAGGACCTTCGCTAAGGTCTGTCACGAATGTCCCAGGCACGGTACCAGATGTCCGCGTTCGAAAGCGTTCGCTCGGGCCAGGAGGGCCCATTCTAATGAGGAGATTTTATGAGACACGTTGCGAGCTAATCCCAGCCTGTCCACTTACGGAGCCTCTACGTTTGCGACACGGAGCGTGCGCCAGGCACGGAATGGCCCTCGATCCTAATCGCTCGGCGCACCTAAGAGGTGTTTTAAATATCTTTATTGGGCGGTGTGCTCCTCGTTAGGCTGATTGCATTACGATTGCATTACCTCCTCAATGCAGTTCATATGTCCATCCATAATAAAACATAATAAAACCATCCCCGTTAAGGTGTTTACACGAGGGAGGGATAATGGATCTTTAAATTTGGTGAGAAAGTAGAAATTGTTAATTGAACATCAACCTTTTATTGATGCGGAATTAATCTGGCCTAACTACATCCTACGTTATTCCTTTCAAATAATGTTTTTTTTGGTCAATTTAACAAGAACGCGGAAGGATATGCCTTCTTTGCTTCCTTTCAGTTGTATCCGCAGATTTAGCGCGTTGCTCGACTACATTTGTACGTTACCGCTGTGCTTACCTTTTATTAAGATATCGTAGACCAACATCTCTTAAATACATGAGTTTGGAAATCGAGATCAGCCGAATATGGAGCATAAAAGCACAGGTCGTCCCGATAGTTTTTGGAACTCTGAGTTTTGTTCCGCAAAATTTGTGTAACAACTTGGCTAAACTCCCAAGTCATTCGAAAGACTGGGAGGTGCAAGAAATTGCTGTGTTTGGAACCTCCCACATTTTGCGCAAAGTATTGTAGAATCATCGATAGTAACTAGATATGCTCCTTAAGAAGCTAGTTGCAACCTGGAGTTTCGTATTTTACATTCAACCGAATTATAACATCTTAGTCGTGATGTAGAGGGGAAAAAATAATAAAATTAGTCTAACGTGAAACTCTGAAGGCTTTTCCAGATTTTTGGCTTTCCTGCAAAATTTAGTTCTTGTGGGTAACGACGTTTTGCAGTTTGATGAGCGTGCATACGCACGTTTGGAGTATCGCCACACACGCAGTGCTCTGTTGCTGCGTAACTGCTCCTCTGTTGGGAGTCCCGGTGGGAGAGACGTTTACTCTGCCCTGCCGCCACAAGGGCTCCATGCCTGCCCACACACACGCACACATCTTCACCCATCCCGAAGCTCAAGGCACACCTAGTAGCCGGGACGTCGCACAAAAGAGCAAAAGTCTACGATGAACGCTCTCAGAAGTTGAAACAGACATCTCCATCTGCCTGGCCAA